TCTGCAGGCTGCCGCCGTGTTTGGCACTATAGGTCAGCTGATTGGGATGGGATGCGGTCTTTCTTTGCATCCTACCCTTGGGGGCGGGTTTGCTTCTCGCCGGATGATCCCAACGTTGTTGCGAATTCTGTCGCTGATGTGGTACTTCAGGGTATGGAACTTTTTATTCCTTCCTCTGTGGTGCCCATTGGAGGCAAATCTCAGCCATAGTTTGGTCGCTCCTGTAAAATAGCATCATGCTATAAGCAGGAGTGCTACCGAGCCTGGGCTGCGCATCAGCGTCCAGGGATGTAAACACCAGCGCTCTAAAAAAGAAGTATAATTCCGCCTCTAGGTCCTTCAAAAGAGTCATTGCCAAGGCAAAGTCAGAGCACATAGGCAGAATTGGCGAGAGACTAGTTCGTCTTCCTTCTGGAACCCGTGCATTCTGGTCTCTCGCCAAGGCTGTCCAGGGGAATTTCTGTCAGCCATCTCTTCCATCTCTGCACAGGGAGGACGACTCACTGGCCCACACCGCAAAGGAGAAAGCCGATCTTCTAGGCTCTTTCTTTGCGTCTAACTCGACTCTCGATGACGGGGGGAGTACGCCGCCGACCATCCCGCGGTGTGAGTGCTCCATGCCGGAATTGTACTTCACTCAGCGCTCGGTTCGCAAAGCACTCCTCACCCTGGACATCCATAAGTCGAGTGGGCCTGATGGAATCCCCCCAATTGTGCTGAGGACGTGTGCTCCAGAGTTGGCACCGGTTTTAACGCGTCTTTTCCGGTACTCCTACTCCCTAGGCGTAGTCCCAAAATCATGGAAGACGGCTTTCGTCCACCCGATCCCTAAAAAAGGCGACCGCTCAGACCCGTCCAACTACCGGCCTATCGCCATCACCTCCTTGTTCTCCAAAACAATGGAGTCCATTGTAAACTGCCAGCTCATGAGGTACCTTGAAGATCACCAGCTGATTAGTGACCGCCAATACGGTTTTCGCCGTGGTAGGTCAGCTGGTGATCTTCTGGTCTACCTAACTCACAGATGGGCGGAGGCAGTAGAGTCCAAGGGGGAGGCATTGGCCGTTAGTTTGGACATTGCGAAGGCCTTCGATCGGGTTTGGCACAAAGCGCTTCTTTCGAAGCTCCCTTCCTATGGGCTTCCCGAGAAATTGTGCGATTGGATCACCAGTTTTCTTGCAGATCGGAGCATCAAGGTCGTTGTAGACGGTGCAAGCTCCGATTGCAAGCTTATTAATGCTGGTGTTCCACAGGGCTGCGTGCTATCGCCAACGCTGTTTCTTCTGCATATCAATGATATGTTGCAAACCCGTAGCATTCATTGCTATGCGGATGACAGCACTGGTGATGCTCTTTACACCGGCCGAGCCAATATTTCTCGGGAAAACGTCTCTGAGTGCCGGGACAAACTTGTGTCTGAAGTCGAGTCTCTGCTGGACAGAGTCTCGGATTGGGGCGACTAAATCTAGTCCAGTTTAACCCCCAGAAGACACAAGTTTGCGCGTTAACCGCTAAAAAGAACCCCTTTGTCGTATCCCCTCAGTTTCAAGGCACTCCCCTTGTTGCCTCAGCCAGTATCGGAATCCTCGGCGTCGACATATCGAGTGACGTGCAGTTTCGTGGTCACTTGGAAGGGAAGGCCAAATTGGCCTCTAAAAAGCTTGGCGTGCTCAACAGAGCGGGACAGTATTTCATGCCGGCACACCGCTTGCAACTTTACAAGGCGCAGGTTCGGCCGCTCATGGAATACTGTTCCCAACTCTGGGCTGGGGCTCCCCAGTACCAGCTCCTTCCACTTGACCGCATCCAGCGCAGAGCGGCTCGAATCGTCGACGACCGAGTGCTTTCCGATCGGCTCGATTCACTGGCGCTGCGAAGAGATGTTGCATCTCTTTGCGTATTTTATCGCATCTATCACGGGGAGTGCTCTGAGGAATTGTTCGGATTAATTCCAGCCGCCAAATTTCGTGAACGCACTACACGGCAAACGTCCCGATACCATCCACACCATCTGGATGCTTGGCGGTCCACCACTGTACGTTTCAAAAGGAGTTTTCTTCCGCGTACAACCTCTCTGTGGAATAATTTACCACCGGTGATTTTTCCGGACCGATACGACCTGGGGACCTTCAAGAAAAGAGCTTACTCCTTTCTAAAGGGCCGGCAACGCACCTGCAATTCCCCTGGTGTTGCGGTTGATCATGGGCGGCGGTAGTCACTTAACATCAGGTGAGCCACATGCTCGTTTGCCCCCTCTTCTATAAAAAAAAAAATATTTTTATTTATAAAATGTAACAGCCAGCTAATAAAATATTTAGTAATTAAATACATTACGAATAGTAAATTTAACTTTATGAGTGTAAAATATATTAAAAAATACTAGACATGCATAAATTTTGGAGTAATTTGTTCCTTATGCATCATGCATAAAACTATCCAATAAAGTTTTTTACTGCTATGCCAACGAACGGACCGTATGCGTGCATGTGATTTTATTTTTCAAATACACAATGGAAAAGAAAGAAATAATTAAGAATATTGATTACTTTTATCTCCTAATTCACTAATTTATAATGAACACTCGTTAAAACTCAAGTTATTTTAAATTCAAAATAGACGTTCTCAGTACCAATCTTTTTTTCATTGTCAAAACAAGAATGACAATATGATAGACATGTGTCGATCATGCATGATTCGTTCGTTTGAGCTGGTACACTTAAAAGTATTGATGGTTCATTCATTTGTTTTTGAATGTACCAGTACAACCAATCACAAACAATTGACGGTACCTTTTTAACCCGCGATTTGTTTGAATTGTGAATGAGCCGCAAACCGACCGAATCCCGAATGATCTGTATAAACAGGCGAATCGAATTAACAATGCAGACTGCAGAGCATAGAGTAGAGTAATATATACACAGAACACCATTACTCCTAACGGAGAATATATATGGAAACTGCAGAGTATCAGGAGTATTTATTATTTTAGGGGTTTTTTTTATTATAATATTGTTACCTAAATTAATAATCATTTTACATTTAAATCTATGAGTTAAAAATATCGTTTTGTAGAGTTTACTAAAAATAACACTTCAAAAGATTTTATGATAAATGACTTATTTAATGATAATTTTCAACCATCCATCTTATATAAGTTAGGTAAAAGTTTAATTTAATAGCAAATAAATGTTTCAATCCCTGTTTTTAGACATGTAAAGTAAGATGAAATTGTGTATGTTCAGACTCACAGAGAGTTAGGAATGAAATTTAACATTAAGCATATTTATTAAATATTTAAAATATATGATAACTTGAGGTTTTTGTGTTTATGCCATCTAGCGTCGATTGTCCTTACCACCTTGAAAGTTAATAAGTTTAATTCGATAAAATGACTTTATTACCTACATCATGTAGTAGATGGCGCTATTACAAATCTTAAATTTTCGATTCCCAATAGATCTCACACTCACAGAGTACTGGAGCCTGAAATGATCCATTTGAATGATCGATCCGAATGTACCAGTACGCGTGACGAAATGTACTAGAATGATTCGGTCGCTAGAAATGAGTGATTTACACATGTCTACAATATGAATTAAAAACCATCGGTGTTTCCACATTTAAAACTTATTTCTAACGGTTAATGTTGCCATAGACTAAAATAAATATCTACCTTTTTTATTTCATCCGAAAACACCTCAACAAGTCACTCAAGCTCAACCAACTCAAACAACTCCGATAGGAGTAATAGTGTTCTGTGCACTCAACATTTACGGTGCGTTGTCTCTAGTACAGTCAGTAATCTATGGTGCGTTGGTGGCATGACCATGACGCAGTAATAGTAATCTATGCGTAGTATCCTCTTAGTAGTAGCGGTGGGTAGTAGCGGCTTCTTTGAGTAACGAAACGAATCTATCTATCGAATATCAATAGCGGCTTTTGAAACACTCTATTTTAATAGAGGGTTTGGAAACATTCTATTTTAATAGCGGCTTCAATAGAGTGTTTCACGACGTGTTCAATTGCAAAACGTTGCGACCGTTGTTACCGTTTCGTATAGAATTAGACATGGTGTTAATGGTTAAATTTATTTATTTGTTAAATCAGTTCGCACGGTTTGATAAAAATATCACTTCGAAGTACACTGGCATTACTTCGAGACATTTTTGATAACAATCACATAAAGTTTTAGTATTATTTTTACACTTAGTTATTTACACTAATTACTGTACAATTATTATTATCAACACTAATATATACAATGATATTTAGTTTTTATTTTACTAAAAATATTATTATTGTTGCACAAAAAGGAAACAAACGCGCCTAAAAAGTAAAAACAAACCGTGTCATTAAACTTAAACAAAAGACTAATGTAAACCGGGCCAAGGCCACTTAAATTATGGTATTTGAACTATTTTTTGTTAAAAACATGTACACTTACTTTCTCATTTCTAATATCGCATCTATACGAAGGAAATAGAGTCATAGGTCAAATGCAAAAGCACACGCGCTCACTCGACTTTCGACAACCGGTGGTACTTCTACCACAGCGTAAAAAGTCGGTTTTTTTACTCATGTGCTTCTACTTCAACAGCCGAAGACGTCGCCGACGCGTCGCGAAAATAGCCGAATAAACGTTTTGTTAGTGATCGCTCGTTCGTGATTCGTGAAACGTGAATCGTGTTACTGAGTAAAACGTCTACTGTAATAGATAGTTTCGTTGCACTGCAATAACCCGCTACTCGCTATTGTGTGAATAGATAGTTTCAGTAACTAGTTACGTTTCGTAACGACCACTCCTACTTAGTAGTCTGTGAGTAATCTCCAAGGAGTAATAGTGTTCTGTGGTAATCTCGGTCAACGCCGCAAATGGTGCGTTTGTGGCAATGAATGGGTTAATTGAAATTGTTTGGAAAATAAGGAGATCGAGGTATTTATACAGAAGTGTTTGCTCTAAAATCAATTGAATTTTTTGGAAGATATAGGAAACAAACGTGATGGAAATGGATAAAGGTGAACATGTTGGAAACAATGGTGATCGATTCGTGCATCGTTTGAAAGAACTGACAGATGAAGAGAAAAAGCGTCTAGAAAGTCAAAACATGCGCATTATTCCCAAATTAAAAGCAGCGAAATTAGAAAAAGATGCGAAGCGCCATTGGGACATTTTCTACAAACGTAATGAGACTAAGTTTTTTCGTGACCGGCACTGGACTACTCGTGAGTTTCAAGAATTAATTAACTTTGATCCAGATGAACGTATCGTTTATCTAGAGTTAGGCTGCGGAGTTGGCAACATGGTATTTCCCCTTATTGAGGAAGGATTTTCGAATTTTTATTTCTACGCGTGTGATTTTTCACCACGTGCAGTCGAGTTTGTTAAGCGAAATAAGCTTTACGATGAAAATCGTATGAAAGCATTTTGTGCCGATCTGACTACGGATGATTTGTTTGAAAATGTTACTGAAAATAGCGTCGATATTGCAAGCCTCATCTTCGTATTATCTTCGATCGATCCCACTCATTGGTCACACGTTGCAACAGTGGCTTATAAAGCGCTTAAACCCGGTGGCATGCTTTTATTCCGAGATTATGGTAGATACGATATGGCGCAACTACGCTTTAAGGCAGGTCACAAAATATCTGAAAACTTCTATATGCGGCAGGATGGTACAAGGTATCTCTATGTTCTGTATTTTAAAAAATATTTTTACATTTAGTTATAGGACATGCGATTTTATGTTGTCACGCTTTTCCTTTATTTTATTATTTATATTTACTTTATTATATATAGGTGGCGACTGGCGTTAAGCCGGTGCTTAAAGGCAATCGCCACTTGTCGGTAAGTTGTGATGAAACCTTAGATAGGAAATCGCACTTTCTTAGCATAACAAAAGCCTATACACTTCTGCCTTGAAGAGTATGTATTATATAGTGTAATCGTATAGAAAGTCGTGTTGGCAAATTTACTCACACAATTGCAGTATGCATTATGAGAGATGAAGCCAACTAGCTTAATTTTATTTTAAAGCTTAAGGATGATAAATGGCGTAAAGCACGCAGTCCACCTAATGATAAGTGGATGCTGTGCCTATAGAGATCTACATTTATCCACATAATAATACTAAGAATATGAATAAGAATAAAAATAAGAACATAATATTAAGAATCAAAACGCAGATGTGTTGTCGCCCTTGATGACTAATATGGAATGCCTCATTTCCAAAGAAAAAGGTTCTCCAGATCTTTACCCTCACCATACGAAACAGCAGTATTGAGCTAGTATTCTGTGAGAGCATGGTCCTGCCCAGGTCTAGCCAACCCATTCATGCTACAATCATAATATAGCTGCCGTGTGGTTCTACCACATATAGAAGTTAGTAAAAGTAAGATAATTCAAATGCATGTATATCTACAAAAGGATGAAGACCTGCTGACTGACCACATTGTCTGATGGTGGGAAGTGAAGGAAGGAATTAGGGAATGTACTGCCTAAATATTATTTAAAAAAAGAGGTTACTTTAATTGAATAAATTATCTTGATAGAAAATTGCCTTACACATGTTCATAAACATCCTAGTTATTTTAATTAAAAAGTGACAGCCGCCTATTCATTTAAGGATGTGGATAAGAGAACTTAAGGCTATGGGTTCAAACCTGTCATTCCAACTATTATTATGAACTACTTTACACAAGCATTGTTTACTTGGAATCGTTGACGGGAATATTAGTAATGGTGCTAGTATATATTTTTTTATATTTAAAGGACCTTTCGTTTGTTATAGGAGCTATTACTTCACCGAGGAGGAATTGCTGAAATTATTCATGGAGGCTGGCTTTGAGATCATTATGAACACTTACGTCCAGCGTCGAACTGTCAACTTTAAGGAGGGCATTGATGTGCCCCGTATATTTGTCCAGGGAAAATATAGGAAGCCTTTAGAAGGTAATGTTAAGCTGTAATAATGCTGTTAACTATTCAATATTTTCATGTTATCATTATACTTATAACACTCAACATTTCCATCGATTTATATACATTTTCAATTTTGTATAGGTGTTTATTACATTAGAAATGTTTTCCTTAAATTTTATACTATTTTAATAGTGTCTTAAAAATAATTATTTAGGAAAATGCATTCTGCAATTAGTCCTCAAATGATGACAAATGCTAACCATTGATATTACTGTGATTTTGCATGTATATTAGCTCTATCTGAATGTCTTATATAAGGTTGTTTTCTTTATATATTTTAATTGATATTACTTAATTGTTAAAAAAATGTTACAGGTAAATCTGTTACTACTTGTGAAAGATGATTAAGCAGCATAAAATAATTGTAAGTAATAAGTTTAATATTTATTATTATTATTATGTATTTAACTGACTGACTGACTCACATCTTTAAAACAATACACCTGATTGACTTGAAATTTAGTAGTTACTCATTTTGCAATGTAGATGTTCACTAAGCTGGGATTTTACAGTAGACCCATCAAAAAAAAATTCTTTATATATTACATCCAGGTTCTGCAAAAAAATATCATGCGCCTAGCGAAGCGAGCATCAGCTAAGTTATCTATATTATCAAGGCCAAATGTTGCTTTGGATATTGGCTTGTCAGTGTCATTGTTGGCACAAGTTTTAATTACTGAGAGCAATAATTACATGATGTAAAGAAATACCTTACAATCAAAAAACAAGATTGGTTGTTGACTACTATTTCACTTGTATAACTGCAGACTGATAAAATTCATACTGTTTATGTTAAAGCAATAATGTTCGCAGGTTAATATAGAAATCTCCTCTGGTTTAAATCAGGAATGTATGTTTAAAACGGACTAAACTATTCACACCCCAGTATTATAATAATATGATGACAGCGCAGTGCAGCTGAAACTTTCCAGCTACCTCACAATGGTTTATTTGTAGAGTAGGGTTTTTTATTATAAATTTTGAGGTTGGTAAAATTTCCTTTAATTTAGTTTCTTCTTGAATCTGTCATTAATTTTTAGTCTATAATTTTTTTTATTTGTAGATTAGGGACACCAGTTGTGAGGGTTGATGCTAAATTTTGCCTAAGAGCAGTCTGATATAGTTTTACAAACACTTAAGTTGTTTGCACATAAGAGTTTAAATAACACATATTTTCTCTTGTTGCAGATTACATGGGTATGACATTATAGTTTTTTTGGTAAGTCCATTTTTTAAAATATCTGATTTGAGTAAACGGGTTGTAAAGAAAGTCACTGGTAGATAAATTCCTAAATAGTTCCATTATTTTTATTATTGAACGTGGTGATGATTTCATAGTTCATCTGATTGCTATGATGCATTGTTTATTTGTCTTTCGCTCCTATCTGACACAACTTCAGACATGAGAAAAAATGCTACAAATGATGCAAATCATTGTATAGGACATTTTTTTATTATTTTCAGATTAAAGGACCAAAAAGTGAGCACAAGGAGTTGAAAGGTGAGTTACCATTTTCATAATATTTTTAGGTGCCTTCTTTAACTCAAAATAAACTCATGATGATTTCAGATAGGGACATCTGAATATGATGCTGTTAACATAACTATCATTACTGATTAGTGTATGCTCTTTATTTTGGCAATTTTTCGCATTTCTAGATTTTAAGTATTTGTTTTAATTGCAGAAATGGAAGGTGTTGTCAAACATATATGGAATAAAGAACTTTCAGAAAAAATTAAAGGTAATTTATATTCTTTCTAATTATAAAATACCTTATTTCCTAAAACATTATTAAAAAATCTGTAAGCCTGAAAATAAGAGGATTGGATAAATTGACTGTTTAAAAATACTAGTTACGTTTTTTTTTTTTAAAAAAACATTAAATGATGATTCTTGATAGGGACATCTGATCAATTATGCTGTTAAAATAACTATCCCTACTGATAAAAAAAACAATTGTAATAAATCTAAATGATGTGTTTGTAAATACTTAAAATATTTTTTATCTATTGTTTCAGACTGTTGCATAAATTTTCATCACCAGGTAAGTGTAATTTTATTAAAAACAAATAAACAAGGCTTTTATAATACTAAGATGTAAGGAAGCAACTACCATGGTAGTGGTGGTGTCAGAATATCCACCACGCTGTATTGTCCTGTGGGGGTTTAAGAGGTAACAGAGGGAAACAAAAAGAGAAGAATGGGTAGCTGTGACTTCCTTACACCTAAAAATAAAACTCTGTGGCTGACAACCTGCTTGCCAAGCATGGTAACAAATATCCTCCATATAAGGAAATCTACGGGGGGAGGCCTGAGTTCACCAGTAGACTTTTGATGATAGGCTTTAATGGTACAATAATGCTAGGCAAAGCATGTTCAGATTTCTTCATCCCAGGTCTGTAGAAACTGGCATAAGAGCTTTTTTGTTTCTAGCCACTATTTATTTATTGAGAATAGTATTATATACAACTAATACATTGTCACATGTACAGTGTCATAATTCTGAGTTGTCGACTTAGTATTAACTGCCATGGAGATTTTCTCATAGTAATGCTTGATGGGCAAATTGGCAATCACTACCAAATCTCTTATACACATGGCACTGCTTTCTTTGACATTGGGCTGCTGATGATGGATATTGGATTGGCTATGGCTATGTCTGGTTAATTTAGGTCCGGCTTGTTATTATTTGGCCATTAATCTGAGAATATTTTCATTGAATTTACTCTCCAAATCTTTGTCAACTCTATGATCGATACAAATTCGTAAAAACAGAAAAATATTTACGAATTAATAGTACCATTTATTGTTTCATGGCAATTATTGTCTATTAAGTCTGAGCCATTTTCTGCAGTAGTTTTAATTTATTTTTTTCGAAAAGCGACATTAGCCAAATGGTTAAGGGTGGCGGACAGCTAGCTCAAAGGTTATACATTCGAATCCAATATTTGATTAATATCGTGAACCACTTGTAATGCAAGCATTTAACCTTCCTTGGAGTAGTTAATGGGAATTTGAATAATGTCTATGGCAAATCCTGTGAGAGTTTGTGTTCTATTATTTTTATTATTGAACTTAAGTGATGATTTCATAGTTCATCTGATTGCTATGATGCATTGTTTATTTGTCTTTCGCTCCTATCTGACGCAACTTTATACATAAGAAAAAGCTAAGAATATGTATATCATTTTACAGGACATGATTTTTATTTTCAGATTTCATCAACATCAATTATAGCCCATCCACAAGTTCACAATTGATCATTGCCAAGGAATGCCACAAAGCATGGTTCTGAGCCACCTGCTACCATCAACTTTCTGCATCACATAATAAGTTGTCACAACATCTTGGATTACTGATGTAAGGATCATAAAATGAGCACATGGAGTTGAAAGGTAAGATACCAATTGTCATATTTTCTTTGTTAATTTTGCTTAAAATGCAGTTTTTGGTGTGATGGAAGTATTTTTGAGTGCCTTAACCCCATGTGAATATGATGACCAGACCATTCAGGTCTCCCTCAACAGAGCGAACCCACTAAACCATGTTGACCAAAATTACGCGTCTGATAATCATTATCTATATGTAAATTATTTTTTGGCATTCCTGATTTTTAAATAAATACATGTAATTTCTTTTCCAGGTAAACAATCCCTACTGTATATGGGAGAAGATGCTAAAAATGAGTGAATGAGTGCCATTTGTGTGCCACTTGTAAGTATACATTAGAAAAAAAAACATAGTATTTATTATTGTAATAATACTCTTTTGTTATAAAAAAAACTAAGTGATGACTTGACCATACAGGTCTCCCTCAACAGAGCGAACCCAAACAACCATGTTGACCAACCCTATATGTCTGATAATTAATTGTTTTAATTATTCAATTTTTATTTTTATTCTGGCATTCGAATTTTAATAAATCTTTTAATTTGGCAGGTTCGATATGTCAACAGGCTTCTGATGATGGATATTGGATTGGCTGCGGCTATGTAAGTATTATAATGATTTTTATTTAGAAACCAAAATTAAGTTATCAGGAAGATGCTACCTATCTCCCATTTCATTGTTCAATTTAAATAGTAAGTTAAATGATGACTTGACCATTCAGGTCTCCCTCAACAGAGCGAACCCATAAAACCATGTTGACCAACCCTACGTGTCTGATAATTATTGTGATTATATTTGCAAAATTTTTGTTTTAGCTTCTTAACTTTAACAAGAAATTAAATTTGTTTACAGTTACAAACAAGTATCATATCAATAGATAACTGAAAATGGGTGTTAGATTGGCAATGCTATGTGAGTATTATGTAATCCTTTTCATTGTTCAATTTAATTTTAATTTTTTATCTTGAATCTTTAAAATAAGTAAAAATGTTATATCAATTACAATATTATTTGTAACAATAAATTAAATGATGACTTGACCATTCAGGTCTCCCTCAACAGAGTGAACCCATATAACCATGTTGACCAACTCTATGTGTCTGATAATTATTGTTATCATATTTGCAAAATTTTTGTTTTAGCTTCTGAATTTTAACAAAACATTAAATTTGCTTGCAGTTTTAACAAGTTTCATATTAATATAAGATAACTGAAAAATGGGTGTTGGATTGGCAATGCTATGTGAGTATTATGTAATCCTTTTTATTGTTCAAAATAATTTAAAATTTTTATCTTGAATCTTTAAAGTTAAGAGTTTTACATCGACTACAACAATATTATTTGTAACAATACATTAAATGATGCCTTGACCATTCAGGTCTCCCTCAACAGAGCGAACCCACTAAACCATTTTTATTTTTACTTTAAAATTTTAACAAAAATTAAATTTGTTTTCAGGTTCTACATATCAGTATATCACATCACTGAAGATAGATGTTGGATCGGCTAATGCTATGTTAGTATTTATTTTAGTTATTTTAGTAATTCCGTGTGAGTGATTATTTTATCGTGCAATTTAATCTTGATCAATTTAAACTTACGTATCTTAAATCTTCAAAAATTATAATAACGATATTGATAGTAAATTAAATAGACACTAAATTAAATGATAATTTAAACTATTCAGGTATTCCCTCAACAGAGCAAACCCAAACAACCATATCGACCAACATTACGTGTCTGATGATAGTTAGAACAATTATAGTTAGTAAAATCTTGACTGGCTTTTAAATTTTAACAAAATATACATTTGCAGGGTGTCAACATTTCAACAATAATTTAGACAGCTAATAAAAGTTATATTTTGATCACCTAATGCTGTGCGAATGTATAAATTAATTCAAAAATAATTGAGACCTTAGAATAACTGATGACTAGACCATTCAGGTATTC